AAACTAACTGATAAGTAGAAGGACAGGATCATTGCTATTTCTGTAATGTTAATTAAGTTGGTGCTCAAAGAATGCCGGCAGTTACGAAGATTGTTGGAAGAAGTAAACGACTCTTAAAGACCACCACCACGTTTTTGTGTGCATGCGGGAAACTTTCTGGAAAATGATGTAATTCATGTGTAGCCTCATCAATATGTATATATGCCCAGTGACTATATAAGGATGGCCTGCATGGTAGTACAGTGACACACGTTAGGAGGAGCTATCCCCCGTGTCTCCTGGTGCCTCAATAAAGAATACCTGCTTGTCAACTTGAAAACTTTGTCGGTAAGTTTGCTCCTGGAGTTTTCTCCGAATCAGTACTGGAAAGGAAAAAAAAAACAGTGCAGCCCAAGCCGAAGCTGCAGGCTGCAGACAGACATGCAGGTGTGATACTGATGTGCTCCGTCCAAGCCATAACCCTGCGCTGAACCCTAACCCACAACAGGACAGTGACAAGGTCTCTGGCTGCACATTGGGGTGCAGGGGGATGAGTGGCTATGCTCCCTTCAGCCACAACAGCACTACTGTCGTTTAACTCCTGCCTCCCCACTTGCAGCCTAGCTGCTATTCCCGCCTCTCCCCCATCCGTGCACTGATCTTGGGGTGCAGGCACCAGCCTGGTATTTTGGGGAAGGAGGTTTCAGTTACAACTGGGACATAGATGAGGCCTCCAGCTGTGCACAGGGGCTGCTGCGGGCACTGGCCACTGAGCACCTCTCCCTGCCTCTGATCTGCCCAGGTTTTGGCTGGGATAGTTATTTTTCTTTCCAGGCACTGGTACAGTGCAGTGATTTGGCTTTAGTCTGAGAACAGTGCTGATAACACACTGATGTTTTAGTTCTTGGGCAGTATTACTCCAAGTCAAGGACTTTTCAGTTATTGCTCAGTGATTATTCTAAGTCAAGGATTTTTCAGTTTTTTAGTTACTGCTCAGTAGTGATTACTCTCAGTCAAGGGCTTTTCATCAGTCTCTCATGCATTGCTGGTGAGGAAGAGCACAAAAAGCCAAGAGAAAGCACAGCCATGACAAGCTGACCCAAACCAGCCAACGGGGTATTCCATACCACAGCATGGCATACGCAGGATATAAACTGGGGGGAGTTAGGTGGAAGGGACTGATCACTGCTGGGGGACCAGGCTGGACAGCAATTGTATTGTACATGCCTGCAGTTGGCTGGTTGATTGTATTCCTCTCTATTTCCTTTTATTTTTTTTTTTGTTATTGATATTTTATTTCAATTATTAAACTGTTCTTACATCAACTCAAGTGTTTTACCTGCTTTTTTCCCCCCTGATTCTCCTCCCCATCCCTCAGGGATAGTACTTAGGTGGTGGCGGGGCTTAAACCATGTCAAGGTCCTAGAGAGGTGCCTCTGCACCCCTGCACCTTGGGCCTCACCAAAAGGGTCATGACTGCAAAGCAAGCCAAGCATTCCCTGGAGAGCTGCCTATGCAGGGGCTGCTGCTTGGCTCCTCGGAACCAGCCTCTGGGGAGAGGCAGGGCAGGGCTGGGCCACTGCAAGTCCCAGCATGGAATTTGATTTAGACTTAGTGAGAAAGTACTGGGGGAATGATAAAGCGAGTTCCTGTATCCCCAGTGAGCTCCAGCTGGGCTCTCTCAGTGAAACAAGGAGTGCTGCTGGAAGCTGCTGAGAAACTGCAGCCCAGAGGCCCAAGGGGCGCCTGGGGCAGCGCCAGGGCAAAGCTGGAGGTCAGAGAACAAGAATGCTGTGCAGGAACAGTGCCAAAACTCAGGCTCCAGCTCAGCCTCAGGAGATTTGTAGGACTAAGGTGAGAGGAAGAGAGGGAAAAGACCTCCACCTCGTGCTAGCATTTTTGGTTTAATACATGCCTGTTATGATAGCTTGGAAAAGGAGAGCCTGTGGCTCAACTTCGGTCGCTCAAGGCACTGTAGGCATTTAATGGATTTAAAGTACTTCTTACTGGTGCTATTTTGTTATTTTTTCCAAAAAACAGTACCTACTCAGTAAGAAGATATTTTATTTTTAAATGTTTTTTAAAAAACACATTATCCACTATGTGTAATATGCCAGTAACCATTGCATATAAAGGAAGCATTCAGAACATTATAACATACGTATACACATAAATATTTTAGTTGTGACATTTTAAGATTGATAGTCCTTTCTGTTATGTTACTGGTAAATACACCTGATTTCTGAAAATTAAAATACTATTATGAGGGATTACTATACTACTACTGTTTTAAGAAGTAAAAAGATAGAATATTTTATGGTATTCAGAATCTAAATAAATACATAAAGTGCACATCTCTGTATGTATTATATTCTAGTAAGTGAAGGGGATTGGGTTAATTCTGAATATGCAAGTATCAGTCAGTATTAATGTTCCCATGAAAACAGATCTCTCCAAAAAGCAAACACTAAACAGAATAAACCTATAGATAGAGGATTTTAATTTCAAGGTTCTACAAACTGCAAAGTTCAAGATAAATTTATTGAGCTGAATATCTTGGCTAAACATCTTAGCTAAACTCAAACATTTTGAATGCCTTTTCACAACTACAGAGCAAAGGCATTTGAATAAGTTGTGTTGTCAGTAGCTACAACAACTCCAATTTGCACAATATAATCTCATTCTGAGTTTTTTCCCAGGTCAAAGCTCTTCCTACTTCTCCACCTGAGCAATTTGATAAAGTTAAGACTTGCACTGAAGATTTTGTCGTGATGAAAAACCATTTTGTAGAATATATCAATGGGTAGGTCTCCATTTGGATCTGCGTATTTCAGAGTTGTCATTGGAGTGTACAAGGTGTTGGTCTGATGGCGAAAAGGTGGACTTTCTGCAAGAATTACCTTTACTGTATGCTGTCAAGAATGAGAAATAGAGTTGTTAAAGAATCTTTACCAAACAAAATAAAATAAAAGCCTAGCTTTCAGTTAAGCAGAGAAAGAATGGAAGAATAAAGTGCTAAAATTATGTAAAATCCTGTATGTAGTTTTGTTAGAATTTCACTACGATGCTTTCTTAAAATACTTTATATTAAATATGCCCCATCCCTGGCAGTATTCAAGCCCAGGCTGGACAGGGCCTTGGGCAACATGGTCTAGTGTGAGGTGTCCCTGACCATGGCAGAGGATTGAAACTAGATGATCTCAACGTCCTTTCCAACCCTAACTATGCTATGATTTTCAAGGCCATGCAGACTTCTTACTTATTTTTAGTCCTATTTCTGTTTATGTATACCATGGTGATAACACCTTAGTGTCCCGAATAGTCCTCCAAAATTAAGCTTATATGCCCACAATAGGTAGATCCTTTTTCTCACAGTTCACTGGGTAAGGATTGGAACCACGCACTTTGCAGCAAGATCTGGGAACATTCAGTTGACACTGGAGTTATTCCTTAGCAGGAAACACCTGAAATCAGTGTCCTCTTCCACAGCTTTGCCTAAATTTATCTTCCTGCAGGAAGCCTCAAGCACCAGAAACCACATCCATGCATCTTCTGTTGTGCTTTGGTGGTCTGGGATGGCTGAGTGAATTTCACATTAGGGATTACGAGTGAGATAGAACAGCAGCTTTTACTACTGGTTGGAACCCTGTGCAGGAGTATGGTAACACTGCAGAATGTTAAGATTTCACCAGATGATGTGTAAATGCATTTGACATCAGTGGTATTTATACTACCATTAATACTGGTCTTCAATACTTCAAAATGAACATTCTTTTAATATTCTAAAGGGGTTGGTTTAAAACTCTCCAGAATCTCTTGCCTTTTTAAAAATGCGTTTCAAATTGTGTCAATTACATTTAATTTAATCTAATGTTTCTATCAAAAAAATAAAAAACCCACCAGTCAACCAGTGCTTTTGTAAATTACAAAGAAAACAACAGCAACAACAAAAATCAAGAAAAAAGGAAGATGGAGAATTGTTGAAGAGTTACCTCTGCAACCTCTTCAGCACTTTGTCCCAGGCTCTGAAAGATTTGTTTGTAATTTTTAAGGTAAATATTAGTAAACATATCAGCTGTTTCTTGATCTGCAGCTGAAAGATCCATTTTCATTCCATCTTCAAACACTTTTCTTTCAAACTCTGTAACTACGGGGCCTGGCTCAATCAAACTTAACCTGTTCAAAAAGCAAGGATGTAGTGGTTATCAGCTATCATCCAAGGGAAATACACCCCTCTATCCTTCTCGAAAAGGAACGTTGAGGAGTTGTACTGTGAGTACATGTTAGCAAGCAATATTAAACAGGACATTCTGTAAAGGGAAGCCATGCTACATCATTGCTCTTCATGCTCCTACCCATCCACATGTAGCAGTAGAAATCTGCGGAGCTTAAATGTCAGTGCAGTGCTGTAACTTAATTCATGGCAGAAGCGAGTGCAGTTTTTACTTGCTGTCTCACAGATGTGGAATCTAAGGGTGATTTATCCACAAGAACACATCAAATATTAAGAAAAAAAAAATTAAAGGATGATAACAAAATTCCTTACTTTCTGATCAAAATCCTACATTTCTTTGTTACAGCTTTCCCATAATAATACTACAAGTAGTTCAAAGAGGTGGGGGATTTGTCAAGCTATCAGTGTTACATCATGCAATATCCCTCCGCTATTTTGTAATAAAATACAATATAGAGAATTTTGCTGCTGCCAAATCTGGAAAATCTTATTTGGCTCGGTAGCCTATTACAGCAAATCACTGAAATACAGTTACTAGTCAGTTCTTTCCTGGGTCTTCTCTCACGCAGCAATTACTTCCAGCCACTCTTTATCAAAACAGTCTTTGGGACAGGACCTCTTCCTAGACTTGAGTTCTGACCAGGCACTTCTTCAGGACTAAATGAAGGTACTGACCTTGACAGCAGAATTCCAGCTGCAGCTGGAATTAAAGCCTATCCTCTTGCATCACTCTTCACACCGGACCTTGAACTTTTTCCATTCTACTTTCATTTTTTTTAACCTCCTTTTTGCTGTTACCTTATACTCTTGAAATCTTACTATGAATTCTGGTATATCCTGTTTATCATTACAATATATTTGTTTTAAATCCCTCCAGACTTCTCAGAGCAGTATGCTTCTCAGTTTGGATGGCGCTTTGTCTCAGAAATCATGGGATTTCCAAGAAGCAGCTGTCTTTTCTCCCAGAGCACAAGGGCTAAATGCTTGGATGCAACAGATATTTAACAATTGTTGGACATCTCACAGATGGGAGCAGAATTACATGAATGTGAATATACATGTGACAAATCATAAAGTCCCGTAGATGATGAACAGGAGGACCAGTCTCTTAGATACTGTCTTAAATGTTAAGTAGTACACCACATTCTTCTCACTTTCCTTCCATCTCCTGTCATTATAGGTATGTTGCCCTGTGTTTCCTTCTGATTGATTTCTACTTGCCCACTCTCTGTGATGAGTTCCTGACCTTTTCTGTGAATTGCTTAAGAAGTCTGTTATCCTTTCTAAAGGAGAATATTACAGGTTGGTATTACCGTTTTATTCCTACGATACTGTACGCAAGAATCTTTTCAGAAGTGTTACATAAACTGTATCTTATCCAAACCTAAACAGCTTTTAACAGCCTGAGAGGACATGTTTATTTTATCATGTAGACATTTTTATTTGCATACATAGTGTGAAGAACATGGACATTTCTATGCCTTTTGTGATATACGATTTCCAGGGGTTCCTCAATCTGTTTCTCCTGGATAGCAGCAAGCTTTAAAAATTTGTTTGCTAGCTCTGAATATATTTACAACTATCTAAAATACAAATACACCCCAGTGGATCAATACTTACTGGAGTTTGAACTTGAGCGCTTGTATAGCTAAACTTTCGCAGAATCCTTCCACAGCAAACTTAGATGCAGCATAAACATCATTAAATAAGATACCTGATGGTGCAAACAAAACACCTTGAGAACATGATTGCATTCAACACACTAACAATTTAAAAAACTTCTATTTTCCAGAAATGTCTAGTCTTGCAGGGAAAACATTAGAAAAATCGTTGTTTATACTGAATCTAACTACTGATTTTTTGCCTATATTCTCAAAGTTGTTTATTCTAGGAAAGAATGCTTGAACAATGCTTTTCCTCCTCCTAGCTGATGATCTCTTGGGATGATATTAAATACTTTGTAGTCTAAGACATGAAAGTGTCTGAACATACAACACCATCTGCATTATTCATTAGCAAAACTTTAATAGGCTATAGATAAACACATAACCTGAGTGCAACGCAAGAGATGAGATTATGCAAGAGATCCAGCTTGCATGTGAGTGATTTAGAAAAACTACTACATCAATCCATCTAATGGATGGTAAGTGTTGTATTAAACAATAACAACTCTTGAAGTTTGACTTTGGACCTTTGCTGACCAGAATAATCCAGGTAAAATCAATGCCACTGTTGTAATAATTGAAACAAATACAGCTAGACTGAATGGAATGCAAGAGTAAGAACATCCTCATCTGTCACTAAAATTAGACTCTGTAGTTTTACGACAGGAGAGACTTTACAAAAAGGTAAAGTTGCCCACAATATGATTGGATTCTATTCCCTTATTATTGTTCAGAGTGTAGTAAGCATGTTTGCCTGTCCTCAAAATCTTTTCCACTAATTCTTTCCAATAGGAAAAGAAAAGTAATGCTAAGCTCTGTTTTCCTGATAATAAATTAAAGGAGTTAAAGCAAAAAACCAAAAACCCCCCAAAATCATATCAATTGACTCTTAAGGGCTTTGTGGTTAAAATGTCTTAGGAGTAGTTGTGTAGCAACATACAGCCTCAATGCATAAAAACTATCAGGTGTATCTAAGTGCTGTGCTTTTTATATTGGAACTTCAGCATTACAAAGCACAATACTTAGATATGCTTTTTTTTAAGATAAAGAGGTAAGCTTAGATTTTGAACACTGAATTCTTAGTTCAAATAGAAAACAAGAACAAAAAAGCAACTTTGCCTTGTATTCCCATAACACTGCTTATTATGACTATATGTCCACTCTTTCTCCTCTTCATATCAGGCAAAATCTCCTTCAGGAGTCGAACCAGTCCAAAGAAGTTGGTATCCATCACAGTTTTCATCTCATCTATGGTCTGACATTCAATAGGTCCAATGAGCCCCATTCCAGCATTGCTAACTGCACAAAATGGTAGACAACAGTGAGCAACAACCTCAGTAAACATTAATTCAGTCTTTACTGGAAAGCACTTGGAAGTAAAATGAGGATTAAGGATTAAATGATCCTTAAATAATCCATAAAGATAGGATTAAAATATGTTATTCTGTCACTAAAGTTTTGCAAATGCACTTGACTTCCATATTTTTTATTTTTAGTTATGCCTTTAATACAATTTAAATTATCTGACATTTTACATTTTAACAAATTTATTTCTGATTAGTCCTGTTTCTTTAAATTATAAAAATGCTACAGAAAAATGAGCCAAAAAAATATCTATATTTGTTTATGATTCAACATTAAGAATTTAAAAGCTTTGGTCTGCTTTTTGTTTTCTTAACATTCACATCTTAGAGGGGAAAAAAGAAAAGAAAAAAAGAAGCAAAAATCCCCAAACCACCACACTTCCATTCATTTTTATTCCTGGATATTTTTAAGTGGGGAATGATTGCTAGAATTGGCATTCTGCACTACAGCTAGTATGCCAAGTTAGAGTCTAATACAGTTTGCAGAAGCAGCTTGTTAAACCGTGCTTTAATAATTAATCAAAATAAAGGCAGGCCCATAATTTTCTATTAGAGAAGATTTAATAGTTGATGGTGTAAGCAATTCCCATCTAAGATACATTTATTTTTAGCAAACCATTATAGAAATACTTCTTGTTGAATGATTTGTAAAGTGCAGTTACAAATCTCAATACAAAATGAAAGTATCCTTACTTTCTTTGCAGTTCTTTTACTTTCCAGTTACCAACCGCTGCTGCTTTCTTAGTACAGAGGGCTGTTGCCTTCATTGTAAATAGGGCTATGCTTCATTGATAGGGCAGAAAACTTGTACATGAAGACGCCAATTTAGGCAAAAGTTGTCACATTTACTGAAAACTGTAATTCTATCCAAAACACTTCCCTGTGTGCAAGTTTCTCCTTTGTTAACAGGGAAAAGAAGCTTCCCTACTTCACAGAAGCATAGTGAGATTTAATCCACTCATGTCTGCATGAAGTCTTAGGAATCTTGAACAAAATACACTATGTAATTATAAGTATTTTGGTATTAAAAAAAACCACATTAATGGAACTTCTCCAGGGTATTTAAGATCATGCTAAATAGGTATCTGTTCATAGTATAGACACCCAGTACTTGCCGAGGACATCAATCCTTCTGTCAGGGATACTATTCACACAAGCTTTAATAGACTGCTCATCACAGACATCCAGTTGTTTAATTTCGAGGGTTTTACCCAGCCTTCGACCTGCAGCTTCCTCTAGTGGCTCTTTCTTGGCCAGATTCCGCATTGTGGCATACACTGCAACACACCAGAATTAACAGTTACCAGAAATAAAACCTCTTCTGTTCAGTCTTACTGAGAAGTATTAAAGAATATTGATTTTACGTCCATATCTTAAATACAAGTGATGATTAAAAGTTAAAGTAGAAAGAATTTATTTCAACATATATTGTTACTGATATCCCAGAGTTTGGGAAGTCTGGGAAATTTTTGCTGCGAAGAAATTCAAAAGGAGAATTAAACCGCTGTTTAATTCATACATGCAGTGTATGAAGATAATATTACCACCAAAATTTAAATAATGGGTAGCAAGTCACGCTGCTGAATCATTTTTAGGTACTTAGAACCTAATTTTAGATTCCATATATCCTTCTTTTTTAAATCACTGTCAACGTGTTTAGAACAACTTTATGTTTATTAAAAAGTGGAAGGCAGATGCTTCCTTAGGTGGCAAAAAACATCTTCTCGAAATAGAAATGAGTTTTATCATTATTGTGGCCTAATTACACAGAAAACTATGAATCTGCATTCAGTCAGTTAGCAGTAAAATACTGTGAGATTAAGTGTGAAAAACTGAATTACCACACATTGCTGTATTCGCCTTGCCATCCATTGCCAACCGTAGCAAATACCCCATTTTACAGCAGAAAGACAAATTCCAGCCCCTTTGTTCACTCTCTTAAAGCAAATATAAGAACTGCTTTCCTACATGAATTGCTCTGGTCCTCAAATGGGTATGTACGTTCATTCAACAAAGATTTTAGTACACAGAAGGAAAGCTAACTACAGCTGTGAATGTATATCCAAGGTAGCATGGTACAGACATTTACAGCTATTTCTCTTTACACTGTTTTGTGAACTATTCAGTTCAAGTAGCTGTTCAGCTGCAATACATATAGAGAAATACCATCTCCTTAGACAAAGCAGTGTATTTTCACTGTATTGTATTTTCTTGACAGTAGGAGGAGGGAAAGTAAAAAGAAACAAGTCACCAAACTGAATACAATCACTTGTTAAATCAAAGAGAAACACATTAGTACTGCCTTGAAGAATATGATTTTATAAAGATAAATAACAGGTAGTTACCTTTAAATCTCTTCTGTTCATCTTTTGCCATTTTTACTGCTAACGCCAGTCCAATTCCTGAGGAACAACCTGTAATGAGGACATTTCTTCTTGCCATTCTTTTCACTGGGTGATGCAAACAACAGCTCTTGTTCAGAGGAGCAACAACCTAAATGTAGCTACGGTACAATGCAATTGGCCTTTAATGCTATCTCCATCTTTCCTGAGTCAACAAATCTGAAAATGCACACCTGGACCCTGCATGATTAAGGGATAATCTCCAACCAGACAAAACCAGAAGCAGATGCTCCTGCATGAGCTGATAATCAGCATTATCATCATGGATTATATTTAATACAAAATTTGATTAATCTTTAAAATGAGACATTTGTTAAGTACATGGATTTTCTGTTTCAGTTGTGGAATAACCAGTTTGCATACTACGGTCAGGAAAAGCTTTGCCACAATTCCAACTGGTCTGTAGCGTTGAGTTTTCCACTCCCATCTATCGAAAGTAAACTACACCCAAAATGGGATCCCTCTTCCTAAGGTGTTCAGACTTAATACACTTACAGCATCCTCCTCATTCTTTTGCAACAGAATGAGAAGTGTATTTCTTCCCTGATGCCTTACTATTATAAGAGTCCTAAAAGGATTTACAGAAAAAGTAAATTGAAAAACTGGATGTGGATTTTTACAGAAACAAGTTGTTTACAGAGATTCCTCACATTTCTTTTTTGCACTGTTCCCAACCAAGAATAGGAAAAGTTAGCAAGTATGCTGGCAGTGGGGAATAGCCAGGAAGACCAGCTCCACTGTATCCTTGCTACTGGATCTGTAACCTCTTTGAACACTTTCTAGTGTCAGAACTAGCATGATGTCTGATTCAGTTTTAGCTTTGGAGAAAATACTCCACCAATTTGTGTATAAACTCTCAATTAAATGGACATTTGGACTGGCAATTTTGTGCAATTGTCATTTAACATACAGAAACTGTGGGCATGCTACATTCAGAAAGAAAACCAGTGTCTGGTGAAATTTATAACCCATCCTGAGTGACAAAAAAAGAATCACTTTAATAAGCAATTAGCCTTCAGAACAGCATTCAGTTAATTGCAATGCCATTATAGCAGACAAATGTTTTCCAGGATTCAGTAATCCCATGTTAATGCAATGCAGTTCAGAAGAATTAACTTAGCATTCCAGTATTCACATTCATGTAAGTTGATTGGTAACGCAAGAAAAGACTCTATAGAAAAATTTAACTGATATTATGATGTTAGAGAAAAAAATATACAAATGTTCCTCCTTTCCAAAACAAATTCACTTGAACAGTATAAGTGGAACCATTAACTTCTTAGGCAAGCAACAAAGCGGCAAGATGGCATTCAAAGTTAAAATGTAATTATTCAAAGAAAAATGCGATTATGGTTCTACTTATTTATCAGGTTTGACCCGCAGTTTTACCACCGAAGTTGGCATCCAGACACACAATCTCAGTGCAAATGCTGTTTAGCTGATTCAGATATCAAGCAAATTGCTTTTGCTGCTCATGCACATTTATATTTAGTCAATGTAGGCGGAGCAAGCGATGCTTTATGCAACACTCCGTTAGTGGAGTGGAATACCAGTAGTGTTGTGATGCAACTGTAATTACAGATGGGTTACATTTTCCACTTGAAATCCTGGTTTGAAGGGCTTACATGTTCCTCTGGTTTAAAAAACTCTCTGAAATTTGATGCATAGATTTCTAGCCTGAAGGAAAATGGATGCGCCTAAAGAGAAGAAAACATTAAAGTAGTTTAATATTTTTCAGTTATTACACTGATCAACCTAATTGTAATGTATTTCATTTGCTGTTATGTAAAGAAACAAATAGCTTGATTTAAAACACAGTATTTTTTTGCTACATAGTAATTCTCATAACAGCAAAATAAATAATCTGAAACTGCAGAAATACTTTAGATGAGTGTAACTTGACCTTGTCAGAGGTAGCAAAATAGGTGCCTGGTTTTGTATAACCACTTAAAGTTGTATTTGTGGAACATATTTGCATAACAGGTAGGTAGTGAAACACCTACTTGATACCCAAGGAGTTTAGCACACTTCCACCTGCAGAGCTGCTGAAATACAACAGATATATCTGTTGCCTGAGATACACTTTTAATATACTAAACACTTAATTTAAGCCTTATCTTTAAATTGTAAAATATTCAATTCTCTTCCTCTACTTTATGTCAGATAACTTTACTTGCTTGATTTTCTAAAGTACAAATCACGTCTTAACACACATAGATCATGTTTGCATTTAGCAGAGTCAGATTTAGGCCTCATAACTGTATTTGCAGTTTCTGATGCTTATGTGAATATGAAAGTGTAAAGAACTGAGTCCGCTAGTCCAGTTTCTACCAGCTAAATTGTGTAGTACTTTTGGAAAACTGGAAATAAATATGCTTTAGAATACATAGTTATGATGCCAATTTAATCAATAGTAATTTTTGGATGAATTTTAGCTTGGGGAAAAAAAAATAGTTCAAACTTTATGGCCCTGTCCCACACCCATTTGCATCTTAAACATAATGGATTTGGTTTTGCCAGTGTCTATTATCAAATCAGTGTCCCAA